AAATTAGAGAAATAATATTAAAAAACATATATATGAAATGTGTGTTAAGTACGTTGAAACCAGAGGAATAAGTGTAGGCAGAAAAAGTAAAGAGAATAAAAACACTTAGGAAACACTAGAACAGTTCAACTGGTCTGGTTTCCGGGGCTTGCAAGTTTTCCTTTCAATACTTCTCTAGCAAGCTACTTGTTTCGTTATTTTCGTCGGTAAACCCAACCAGACAAATTAAAGTAAAATTAAACTAAGAAAAAGGATCGCGACAAATAAAAAAATGAAAGTGAGTTTAAAATTCTTAAGTCTGACTTCTGAACGTAAAATCAGAAGCACCCAAATCATTGAGTTTCCCTTACATTCTTCGTGTGGAATTTGAACGAATTCTTGCAAATGTTGGAAAACGTTTATTGAACCAGCAACTCGTATCAGTAGGATTTTTTTTCGACTATTTTTTGGGACAAAACACGGTTCTAAGCAATCAAAGCATCACTTGCGTTAACAAAATGAGCACAAAGTACCGGAAAGGAATGTGGAATTTTCGAGACAAACCCGGAAATGTGGTTTCTAGGGCTCATAGAATAACGACGGTTTGTCTCTAAGCCAGAAGAAGCTACAAAGTATAGGCAATTAGGCCTAAAATTGAACAGCATTTGGGCATCGGGGGAAATCAGTGCAAATAAAGCGATAAAATATAAATAATGCCACTCGTGCGTATGCTAACAAAGAACCGGGAGTGGATGGTATATGGAGGTGCCACGAAATCAGAGCGAGCAGAACAAGAGTCTGAACTGTGTAGAGTCACGAACCATCCGAAACGGATGCCGATGGCGAACCTGAATTTTTTCGACGTATATAAACATAGACAAGTTATTATAAAATAAATAAACCGGCGATGGTTCAGCAAATCGATTACGTGCAGCCCGCAGGAGAAGAACCAAATTTTCTTTTCACTTGACCAGGTTGAGGATCTGCGAAGACTTTTTCGTTTATTGTCCGGCTGGAATTTCCATAATTCGAAAATTAAACTACAAATCGTTTCTTACCTTATGGGCGGCGGCATAAGCGACCAATTATAATGTTTTCACACCTGGTATGTGGCCTTTAATACAGAAAAAAGGTCCAGGATATTAATTTTCAAAGTGCTGAAACGCGATAGGGCTTTCGTGTTAATGGATTAAAATTACTGATTTCAATCGCTGCCGATATTCGTGTCAGCTTTTGTACCGACAACGAATAAATTTTGTCACACAGTTTGTTTTTTAACTGTACTTTGTAATGTTATATGGGTATGGTTTTTGTAGGTGATGCCCATAAATCACCCACTCGATTCTACAGGTTTGGACTAATAATCATGGTTTCGTAGGGTTGAGGCTGCAAATTTATTTTATTTATCGTTTGTCCATCAGATCTGCTTGAAAAGAACGAAGAGAAATTAAATTCTGAGGTTCGAAACATTAGCAGAATGCAGAGAACAAAACAGTTTATTATGTCTAAACGGTAAAAGATTGTAAACAAAATAAAAACACTTTGGTTTGTTGATTTTCCTATTCTCAAATTATTTTGAAGTATACAGCCAATCGCATTTTTACGCTTTGGCGCCATCGCCTTCATTTTTGTTTTTTTTAAACGGCATTTCCAAATTGTTTCGTAATTTCTGAAACTTATCGCAAACTGAACCTTTAAAAGTTAATTAACTGCTCAGATGTTTCTACTACAAACTCTCAAATTGCAAATACTTCAATTGACAACAATTGAACACAAGTTGTTTTTTAAAATGGACCCCAAACTTTTTTTTTCAGAAATTTAGTGAAATTGTGCAACCATTTGTCGCCTTAGTGGACATGGAGGGAATTTTGGATAAAATCAGAAAAATCCTGCACTTCAAGGCGGCAAACTTCGGGCATTAAAAGGCCGGTTCTTCGGTCTCTGAAAACAGCAACTGAAAATTCGTTACGTAATTCTCTATCGACCACCCAAAATCGAAACTAGTCCATTCACCGGCCGTTTTTTTTTCGCCTTTATTGATCCGCCGACTGATGGATATTTGAGGAAAAGCAATTAACTCTTTAGATTAATTAAAGGCCGACCAGCATTAGCATTAATTGATATGTTCGAATCTACGAAACATTTCCGAAAATTGTTAGAAGCCAAGAAGTGAACAGATCAAAACCGAAACTTTTCAGGTTTTTCACCAAATTTTTGCACTTTTAGTTTAGTAGGTTTAGTGCCCACGACTATGAAACATTCTTGTTTTTTATTGATCATTCATTGTCATTTACTATGTCATTCCTATGACTTACGGCTCAAATGATCCAATTTATATTCATGATGTTGGTACTTGGTAATTTCATTTCCGTTGATCGTAAATTGTCTTGACAGCATGTTTAAGCAGCAAAATTTTGCCAGGAATGCTCAAACTACGTCTCAGTGATCCATAAATGCCTAGACTAAACGGCATTGATTTTTAGGAAAAAGCAGTCATTTTGAATCACAAAATGCTTCTAAAAATCATCTCCCATTTTCATCTACTTTTTCTACTACTTTTTTCATTTCCAGACATTTTCTGCTCTGTTTAGCGCGTTGAAAATATACAGAAAAACAACTGAATCAACAAAATATATTTTAAATACAAAAAAGACTAAACCACTTCTGCTCTCTGACTGCAATACTAGCGCACATGAAAACCTTAAAACAACGCAGCAAATATTTAATCAAAGTTGGTTGAATGAGAAAATTGACAACCTTGAATCGATCATTTTTTATGTAAATATCTATTGGCTTTGCATCCAGTAGAACTAATCGATTCTAAATAAAATAATTTAATTTCAAATGCATGAAACATTGATAATGGGACACATGGGTGGGTTGCTCGATTATTGCCGATATTAAAATAGAAACTGGCCAACCAGATCAATCAATCCGAAATATATTTTCGAATTGAGTTTTTATCAAGATAAGAGTAAGAGAAAATCCGGCCTTCACTTACAGCAAATCCATCTAATTAATTTTTTGTGTGAATAAAGAGAAGGTTTTTTTTTCGAAGAAGAAGAAGGAGAGATCGGAATACATCTTCCAATACTTAATAACGAAATATTTATGTTACATGTGCTTTGGAGTTCTTGAAGATCGATTTTTGAACTTGAAGGTTTTTTTGGGCGGGTTTCCGCTTTTACTTCATCCGTTTCTGAAGCAGATTTCTGAACAACCAGTGAAGATATCGGAATGCGGGTTTGAGCACTCGATCCGGAATCCCTAATTTTACATGTGTCTTGAATTTTATTCTATTCAAGATATTGGTACTATTTTAATGAATTTTTAAACTTTTAAGTGTTTTTGCGCGGTTTCTTATTTTTACCTCATATGCTTCTGAAGCTGCCTTTTGATTAAATGCTTGCGTACCGCCATAAAGGATTTTTAAACGTCGAAGATTTTTTGGGCGAAATTTTGGTTTAACATCATCCGCTTCTGAAGCCGCTTTTGATCTATCCGGTGAGACATCAGAATTAGCGTTGAAGCATTCAATAGCTAAAGCTTTATTTTCAACGCAGTTTAGTTTTAGTTTCATTCAAAGTTGCAGCACCATCATAATAAATTTTTGAAGTTTGGCATTTTTTGAGCGGTTTTTCATTTCTACATCACTCGCTTCTAAAGCTCATTTAAGGGGAATGGTTTTGATATATCGGCATGTGGGTTTCAGGACTCCATATCGGGAGCTGTACGACTGTTTTACGTACGAGTATTGTTTTACGTACGATGTAGATTTCATTCCATTCAAGGATCTGGAGCTACCATAATAAATTTGAAAACTTTGCCATTTTTTAAGGCGGTTTTTGATTTTTACACTATTCGCTTCCGAAGCTGCTTTCTGAGCAATCAGTTGAGGTATCAGAATTAGGATTCCAGCACTGAATAAAGAAAGCTTCATTTTGTTTGAGCTTTGGATCTGGTTCGATTTAGGCGACTTATACTCTTCTAATAAATTTTGAAACTCTGCCAGGTTTAGGAGCGGTTTTTTATTTTTTTTTACACTATCCGTTTCTGAGGCCGATTTCTAGACAACAAATTGAGCTGTCGCAATGCGGATTTTGTATTCGAGAGCCTCGTTGTTCAGGTGTTTTGAATTTTGGTTCATTTGATGCTGTTGGTACCATCAGAATTACTTTTTAAACTTTGGTGTAGACGGGATTTAATTTTTGCATCTCCGTTTCTGAAGCCGGTTTCTGAGCAACTAGTTGAGTAATCGGCATATGGGTGGCCGCGTTTCATAGCGAAAGCTTCATTGTAAGCGTGGGGTGGATTTGGTTGCATTCAAGGCTCTGGTACCATCATTATGAATTTTTAAACTTGGGCATTTTTTGCACGGTTTTTTATTTCTACATCCTCACCAACAGAAGCCGGTTTCTGAGCGACCAGCTCAGGTATCAGAAAAAGGGTCCTTGTATTCGAGTAAGAAAGCATCATTTTACAGGTGGTTTTAAACTAGTTGCCATCAGCCCTCTGTTACCATCATAATGAATGTTTAAACTTTGAAGAGTTTTTGCGCGGGTTTTAGTTTTACAACACCCGCTTCTGAAGCACGTTTCTGACGAACCAGTCAAAGTATTGAACTCTGGGTTTCAGCACTCGATAACACAACCTTCAGTTTAGATGTGATTTGAATTTGCTTACATTCAAGGAACTGGAAGGTTTTTAAACTTCGGAATTTTTTTTCGCGGTTTTTTAATTTTACATTACCTGCTTCTGAGGCCCTTTTCTGAGAAATGACTCAAGGTATCGGAATGGGGATTTATTCACTCGATCAGGAAAGCTTCAGCTTAAGTGTGGTTTGAATTTGGTTCTATTCAAAGCACCAGTACAATCATACTGAATTTTTAAACTTTCAATTGTTTTTGCGTGTTTTTTTGTCTAACCATAACTTGGAAATTTGCCAGGCCGATAATGCATGGGAAATAAACTCATAATACGGGAACATTATGGTCAAAACATGCGTTAATCAAGCAACAAAGGACACGAAGAAATTCTATATAATTAAGTGACAATGCAAAAATTTGTTTGGTTGTATTCCATGCCAGTGGCCGATAAATCTATATATGGGTTTATTCTAAACATATAAATCATATAAATTTAAAAAGTTAGTTTGTGAAACTTTGACTACTCGCTGCTGAGCAGCTGCTCTATTTTCTCTTTGGTCAGCACTCCATACTGCTGAGCATGTTCCAGCAGGTTCCTGCTCCTTTCCTTGTAAGCGTCGCTTGATATTGTTTGTGACAACAACGTTATAAACATCTTTGTTGCATCGTTCATCCCTATTTTGTCTTCTTTCGATTCCTCATTATTTAAGCTTTTCAACTGATCCACGTATTCCCCCTTGTCCAGCAGCTTAATCTGCCACAAGTAGATCCCCAAGAAAATGCCCATGGCTGCATGCTCCTTCCACTCCTGCAGCAATTCGTCCCAACTGAGGAAGTCTTCAACTTTTTCATCCAGACCTTCCAGGGTCTCCGTCAGACTTTGGTGGTAGATTTTCAGATAATCCTCCAGCCGAGCCAGGTCCGCTCTGGAAGCGGACGAGTAGAAGAAGTAGGAGAGATCATGCACTGGAGTGCCATCTCTGCTCAGTTGGAAGTCGATGAGTTTCACGTCTTGGAGCTGGTCAGACGGCTGGAAATATCCAGATATTGCAAAGGGCATTTATGATGTTTTTTACTTACTGAGTACTTAAACAGCATGTTGTTGGACCAGCAGTCTCCGTGTGTGGAACAGCGGTGCTTTCCAGAGTATTCGAAGGATTTTAGCACGATTTGCTTGCAGTTTTCCGGGATGTCTTTCACTAGGGTGTAAGTGGGTGACTCCGGATCCAGACCGTCAACTGCTGCACTTAGAGCTGATTTGAACATTTGGACACTATACTCCACTTCCATGAAAATGCCGAAAACATCTTTGAACTTAGCTTGGATTTTTTGGTAGTCCTCGAACTGGCGTTTTCTGAGTGCGAATGAGGAGGCATGGAACTTTCCATAGGTGCGGAAAATCAGCTCAAAGTGCTCTGCATCGAAGTACTTCTTTTTGTCGTACAATTGATAGCCCTGGGGCTTCAAGTCCTCCATAGCAATAAAGGTTTTTTCCCCATTGTATTCAGCCAGCAAACATTGAGGAGTGTTGTCAAAGCCAGTGTTTAGCTGATTTAAGGCGGGCAGCAGTTGGGTATAAAAATTAATTTCGTTCAGGAATATGCTGCTGAAATCAAACGCCCAAAGAGGGGCCTTTTTAATGGCCACATCGAGCACTGCTCCACCGGTTTTGTCCACTATTTGGGCCTTGTAGAACTGCGACACAAATCCATCGCCTACCTCAACGTTCATATTCAGATTCATCTCATAATCGATAATTTTTTTCGACGCTGCCACTTGCTGCAGGATTTCCTCAATGTGGTTCCTGGTATCCTCCAATGACGACATATCGATTCAGCTTAAAACTGGCGTCGTTATAAATGGCTGGAATATTTTTATTTACCTCGATTGGATGCACTTTAACTCAACACAGTGGACTGCAGCGGGCACAAAACTGATTTCAAAGGAAGCGAACAACTACTGTACTTGTTGACCCATCAATTACTAGTTCAATGTCAATATTTTAATTATATAATCATTCAAACTCATTATTATTATGTCCTCGTTTATGTGTTTGATGCGGTAAAGGCCATGGATTTAGATACGTTATCAGATCGGACTGAGTATACAGGGTGGTTGATAAATATTTTGCTGACAGGGGCCTTCGTGATGCAGCCGCAGTTTCTGGGGTAAAGGATTGATAAAACAGTCGAGAAGTTGAGCATTTTAAACGGTTATTTGATAGAAAGTTGCGGGTTCAAGGTAGACCGGCGCGGCAGTTTTCAATGGGTTAATTTGCCTGGTTCTGGTGCTTGTTTCTATCAAACTTAACACAGAAATGGGTAGATAAGGGAAGCCTCCAAAAAAAATCTAAATTGGTTCCTAATTCTTCCAACTTTTTATGTTTTCCGTGGTTTTTTAAGTTTTTGCATCGCCCGTGCGTGAATTCCGTTTATGAGCAGCCAGCCGAGATACCGAAACGCGGGTTTCTGCACTGGATAAAGAAAGCTTATCTTCACTTGGGAGCTTACATTTGTCCATTGGAGGCACTGGTGACCCCAGAATTACTTTTTAAACTTTCAAGTTTTTTGCGCAGCTTTTAATTTTTACATTCAAAATTCTATTGATGATTTTTTAGCAATCAGTCGAGAAATCAAACTATGGGCTCTGCCTTCATATTATGTGCGCTATGAACATGGTTCCATTTAATGTAATGATTTCATCATTAAGGATTTTCAAACTGTGGGAGAGTTTTTGCACGGGTTTCAGTTTGATAATATCCGGTTCTAAAGCAGGTTCTAACCAGTTGAATTATCGGAATTCGGGTTTCAGGGTTCGATAACCAAAGCTTCATTTTATATGTGATTTGGATTTGGTTGCATCCATTGTGGTGGTACCATTATAATACATTTTTAAACTTTGCAATGTTTTAACGCGCATTTCTTCATCATCTGATTTTAATGGCGTTATCTGAGCAACAAGGTGAGCTATGAAGATATCACTTGTTACACTCGATAACGAAAGCCTAAGGTTAGAAGTGGATAAATTTGGTTCCAGTCAAAATACCAGTGGCATAGGAATTCGCTTTTCCACTTTGAAACGCGTTTGCATGGTTTTTACATTTTACGTCACAGACTTTCAAATACGATTTCTGAACAACCAGTTAAGACCTCAAAATGCAAGTTTCAGTGCTCAATAAGGGAGGCTTCACTTTATACGCACTTCCAATTCGGTTCAATTCAACGCACTAATACAACGATAAAAGATGGTTAAACTTTGGAGACTTTCTGCGTCGTTTTTTATTTGTACACCATCCGGTTCTAAAGCCGGTTCCTGAGGAACCAGTTCAAATTTGGCAGCGGTCCACACAAATATGGTAGAAAAAGCCTCAATGCACATGCAAGTTGGATTTAGTTGCGTTAGTGGCCCTGTTACTATAATAATTCATTTTTAAACTTTGAAATTTTTAATTTTTTTGCGCGGTTTTTCATTTTCATCTGATCCAATTCTAAAGTCCGTTTCTGAGCCGCCAGTTAAGATATCAAGGTGTAGAGTTTTGCTCTCAATAACGAAAGCTTCTCTTTCACTGTGGAATAACTTGCGTTCCATTCACGGACCTGGTGGCATCATAATTCGATTTTAAACTTTGAAGTGTTTTCGTGCGGTTTTTACTGTTTACATCAAACACTACCAAACACGATTTCTGAACAACCAATGGAGATATTGAAATATGGGACTCAATGTCCGATAACCAAAACTTCATTTTACAGGCGCGTTGCATTTGGTTCCATTAAACTGGTGGCATCAGACATAATTTTTAAACTTTGAATTTTTTTCGTAGTTTTTCATTTTTACATTGCCTCCTCCTGAAACAAGTTTTTGAGCTGCCACTTGAAACATCCGAATGTGGATCTTATTATTCAACAACAGAAGCTCTATTGTATAAGCGGTTTCGATTGGGTTCCATTCAGAGAACTGGAACCGGCATAAAAGACTTTTCAGCTTTGGGGTGTTTTTGCGCGGTTCAATCATCGGCTTAGCAACCAGTTTCTGAGCAATAAGTTGAATGCTTTCCACCAATTGTTCCTTATGAACATTTTTTTCTCTCTGTGTTCAGCTGTTCAATCAACCACTTTCACTTTCTTCTCAAGTCTCAACATTCATGTAATAAACACCACGTATATTATCCAGACGAATGGACTTGTGTGCGTAAATACGTTTAGAAATAATTTAGCTGATTAGATAACAGGAAAGAAAAAACCTATCAAGACACCTTGAACAATTGCTTAATCATTGTCGTAATAAACCCGGTTATAGTCGTAAATAAAAAGTAACAAATGAAAGTTAATTTGAAAAGTAGAAAGTATCACATAAAACAACAAAAAGCCTGTCTTGGAGAAAGAGAATGAATCATGAAAAAGTAAAAATAAGATTCAAAAACGCACACAGAAGCATTCAATATCAATTTTGAAGAAGAGGAATTTGAAATCCATCCTATGGCTGAAAGTACCATTGAAAATGCAGGAAATAAATAAACCGTTGGCAAGAATAGAAACGTCCCCTAAAGTGGCCACTTAAGCAGGATAAGCATTAACGGCATTGTCCGATGTAACGTACACCGTGTGTTGTCAGCACGGGCAGGTAAAAAATGTGCTTGGCCAGGAAAAAAAACGCGAAAAAAATAAAAACTAAAAAATAAATAAACGACCATCGGATATTTTGGCGCAACACCATGCAGGAATGCTTCAGGGTTCGGAAAAATTATGCCTTTGACATAAAAATGAAACGTACCCGTGTAAAGGTAATTTCGGCGCATAAATCAGGGATTTTGGCCGAGTCGAAATTTTGACGGTGAGAAACTCTACCTTTCGGTGTGAATTTCCATACAATATCAGGTGGTGTGGGAAATAAATGTGCATTACCGTAAGTGGGAATTTATGTTGCTGTTCAGCTTCAAGCAATCCAAAATCTTCGGTGAACATTTAAGCCAGGGATTTTGTTAACACGCTGTAGGTTTTTCGATTTAAAGTTATTAGCTGGGAAGATGATTCAAACAACTCCATGATGCGCGCTAAGTTTTTTACATTTTCTAGAAATTACTTGTAAAGTTTGATAATGGCTGATTTTGGAAAATGTTTCCTTGTTACCTTACTTCCGGTTTCTTTTGGTCTCCCAAGAGGTAATTTTGCAAGAATTTTGCCTAAACTGAAAAAACCGTCTTCAGCCGGCTTATTGAGGACTTTAGAGGGAAACACCAATTTTTTATGAATTTTGTATCTTTTATCTTAATCCTTTCTGGCATCAGCGGATGATATAAAAATGCATACCGCGTAAAACACTGCAAAGTTTAAAAAATGCAACCAAATTTACGCCTCATATAAACGGAACCTTCCGATATGCAGACGTGAAACCGACATTCCTATTTATAGACTGGTTGTTCAGAAACTGGCAGAAAAAGAAGCTAATGGTGCAAAAATAAAAAACCGCGGGAAAAATCTCCAAAGTTTAACAATCGTTTATGATCGTCCTGGACCATTGAATCAAACCAAATCCTGCTCGCGTATAACGTGAAGGTTCCTTTATTGAGCACTGAAACCCGCGTTCCAATATCTCATTTGATTGCTCAGAAATCGTATCTGGAAGTGTATGACGTAAAAATGAAAAAACCGCACAAAAACACACCAAAAGTTTAAAATCGACTTCTGATCACACCAATGTCTTGAATGAAACCACATTTAGCCCCCGGTTAATTCAAAACTGTGGTGATTGAGAGCGAAGATCTGTATCTTGATATCTCAACTGGCTGCTCAGAAACGGGCTTTCGAAACAGTTGATCTGAAGATGAAAAGCCGCGCAAAAATCCTCCAACTACTAATGCAACCAGATCCAAACCACGTGTGAAACGAGGCTTGTTTGAGCAAGTGCTCAGCGCAGCATTCCTATATTTGGACTGGTTCTTCAGAAAGTGGCTTCAGAAGCGCATGGTGTAAAAATGAAAAACGACGCACAAAATCGTCAATCTAACAATCTTCCGTCCAAATTATGTTCATATAGAAATGGTGTTTTGAACTGTGTGATGTAAAATGTAAAACTTAACTTAAAAAAAATCGATTAGATAAAAAAGGGAAGTTTTCGACAGTTTTCCTCCAAAAGTCGACTGGAAGTCCAGTTGCCGGCTTATTGAGGATTTTACAGCAAACGTGAAAAACCCCTTTTTTATGAATCTTCACTCCTTCTATCGAACACCGTGCTCAAAAACTATCCATTAGTTTTAGTTTTGGAAGTAATGTTTTTTTTTTCAGAAAATTACATTTTATGCGAATCTCACAAACCATTGATCTGGTGCAGGAGACACGCTTAGAGGCTCTATTTGAATATTTCCGAGGTTTCCTGAAACTAATTTTCAAAAATCCATTCTATAGAGCTCTTTTACAATGCAACTAGTTGAAAAATTCATACAAAACTCATCAGAAATCGCTTTTGTCTCTTCCATAAAGGAACACCCTTGGTTCACAAAATGTATAGAAAACTGCAAATGTTTTGAAGTTCTTTAATTTGTTTTGATTGATTTGAGAATAAATTTCAACCAAAATGACTCATGCAGAAATAGGAAAGAGGTTGCGGAGCGCCTTTTGCAGCATCGAGGAAAGTAAATTTGCCTTATAAACCTAAGTAAAATTGACAGTTTAAATATGCGAAAAAAAGTTCTTCAAGTCTTCTTTCAAAGATTAATATTATTTGGTTGATTTGGTCAAGAACAGTGGCATTTTCAGCGTGAAATTGAGCACGAGATTTTTAGTAGAATTTCCACTTTGTTCAAGTTCCCGATTTGGACTTAGACATGAATATCAACAAACAATCGGAGCTCTATTCGAGCGGAAAACTTTAGCATCCATAGTTGGCGAGGTGGGACAAGTGGTGCGTAAAATTATGCCAAATAATAATCACTTCTGCATTCGTTAACAGCTAAGTAATGTCTCGGGTAGTCGAGGAATATGTAAGTTTCTTGTATTAATTAAAATATATAATTAATGCTGCGCGTTAACATTGCGGATATATTAGTTTATTAAACCGTAGTT